CCCGGGAGATGAACAGCAAATTTGTTAATAAGCCTTCCTCCAATCCTGTTACCCCATCATACTTCATATAATCTAGCTTCTCTGATTATTTTCTCAAAAACAGATTGAATAAGTATGGTGAGAGGATACAACCCTGACACACACCTTTCCTGATTTTAAATCACATAGTATTCCCTTGTTCTGTTTGTACAACTGCCTCTTGATCCATGTATAATTTCCATATAAGTACAATGACATGTTCTGAATTCCCATTCTTCTCAAGGTTATCCATAGTTTGTTATGATCTAGACCAGTGGTTCTCAACCTGTGGGCCACGACCCCTTTGGGGGTCAAATGACCTTTCACAGAAGTTGCCCAATTCATAGCAGTAGCAAAATTACAGTTATAAAGTAGCAATGAAAATCATTTTATGACTGGGGGTCACCACAACATGAGGAATTGTTGTTAAAGGGTCGCAGTATTAGGAAGATTGAGAACTACTGATTTAGATAGTCTAATGCCTTGGCATAATCCATAAAATACAAGTAAACAATCCTATTCTCTCCTTTCAGCCTAGATTCTTCTGACATCCCTTTTTCCACGTCCTCTTCTGAATCCAGCCTGAACCTCTGTCAACTCCCTGTCTATGTACTGCTGCAATTGTTGTTGGATGATCTTCAGCAAAATTTTCCTTGCATGTGATATCAGTGATATTGTTCTGTAATTTGAGCATTCTATTGGATCACTATTTGTAATGTGGACAAAAATGGATCTTTTCAGTCATTTGGCCTAGTCGCTGTCTTGCAAATTTCCTGGCATATACTAGTTAAATGCTCCCAGTGTTTCATCAGCTTGTTGAAACAGTTCGATTCTTATTCCATCAATTCCTTGAGATTTGTTTTTGGCTACTGTCTTCAGTAGCATGAACTTCTTCCTTCAGCCCCATTGATTCTCACCCATGCGCTACCTCCTGAAATGGTAGAATGTCAACTTGTATTTTGTGTTCACTGAGTCTGCGTATTCTTTCCATTTTCTATTTTTCTTCCAGCTCCACTTTCTTTCGCAGCTTCCTGCATCACTCAATGTTTTGCCCGTAGAATTTTCCAATGTTTCAGCTCCGGACTTCAGATTTTCTTGAGCTCTTTTATTTTAAAATATGCTGGACAAGATCTTCCTCTTTGACATTCTAAACCTAGGTCTTTGCTCACTTCAAAATTATATTTTACTTTGTCTTCATGAACTGCCCTTTGAGATTTTCCATTCAGGTCTGTGACATCATCATTTCTTCCACTGACTCTAGCTGCTCTACTCAGAGCAAGTTTCAGAATCTCTCCTGACATCCACATTGATCTTTTCTTTCCTTCCTTTGAATGACTTTTGCTTTCTCATGAATGATAATCTTGATGTCTTCCCACAGTTCTGTCTTTCATGTTCAATACATCCTATTTGTTCTTGAGATATTCTTGAAATCCAGGTGGGATATTTTCAAGATCATATTTTGGCTTGTAGAAATTGTTTTTATTTTCTTCAGGTTTAACCTGAACTTACATCTGAGCAACTGATGGCCTGTTCCGCTGTCATCCCCTGGCCTGGTTTCAGCTGCTGCTGTTGAGCTTCTCGATCACTCCTCGCACAAATCAAGGCACTTTGATCCCTGTGTATCTCATCTGGAGAAGTTGTGGAAGGATGCGTGTGTCTCTGAGTGGCCCTGTCTTCCAAAGTGGGCCACGGATTCCGTCTTCATTGTCTATTCCTAGTCTGTTCACACACTAGACCCCACAGTACAACAAACTGACAAATAAGTAGTGGAAAGATCTATATGTAAGTGGGATATATATATATATAAATTGATTCACTTTATAAGGTAACTATTCCTTAATGAATATGTTCTTTTCAGTTTAACATTTGATATAGAAGATTTTCTTATAGAGAACAATTAACCATAAAAATCTTTCCTTTCCTATAGTTTTACAAGAAAGCTAAAGATTGGTGGCTATTTAGTTTCTATTTCTGCTTGCCACTGGCCATAACCATGTTTTTTTATACACTGATGACTTGTGAAATGTTGAGAAAGAAGAGTGGCATGCAAATTGCTTTAAATGATCACTTAAAACAGGTAAGAAAATAAGCATACTTACTGACATGGTTATAGTTGTTATGATGAGGATACAAATGATGATGATGACACATTAACATTAAAGAATTCTTTAATGTTGCATTTTAGATTTACATTTAAAGATACATTAAAGAATTCCCTTTTCTTTCTCCTGGTATCTTTGTATATAGAAAGCACATAATTTACATTATCTATTTAGAAATACTCTGTAAATTAAATTGATCTAGATAAAATCATTACTTTAAAAAATAAATATGCAGTCATTTTGCCTCTAATTTACACAAATCCTTCAACTGAAAGTTTAATGTCCTGAATGTTTATAAATGCCACGAATTGTTTGTGAACCACGTTCTGTTTGGGGGAAGAGAATACTGTGGTTAGTGAGCCCTCGTTTCTGAGTCTGACTGTGGTTTTATTTCAGAGACGAGAAGTGGCCAAAACGGTCTTTTGCCTGGTCCTTGTCTTCGCCCTGTGTTGGCTTCCCCTGCATCTCAGCAGGATTTTGAAGCTCACTCTTTATGATCAAAATGACCCGAGTAGATGTGAACTTTTGAGGTAAGAAAGATAAAATGTAGCTGGTTTTTTTTTTTATAAAATTAAATTCAGAAGCGTTTCCAACTGATCTCTTTTATAAGTAGAAATAAAGTACAAATCATTGCAAAAATAAAACAGCTACCATCAAGTGGAATAGATTTTAGCTCATGGGGACTCAGTGTGTGTCATAGTAGAACTGTTCGTTATAGGGTTTTCGATGGTTGATTTGTCAGAAGTAGATTGCCAGTCCTCAACATTTCATCTGAGGTACTTCTAGGGGGACCTGGCACTTCTAACTTTTCAGTTAGAAGCTAAGAACATTAACCACTTACACTACCCAGGGACTTCCTTAAGAAGAAATTAAGACCCTAGCTTTATCTTTACACTTATATTAGGAGGATGAGTGATTTGGAACTCAATACTGAGGGTAGAGGGCAAGACGATTCAAAAGGATGAGAAAGACACACTAAAAATACCAGGCTGAGTTATTCTTTGCACTTTACAAACACTTTTGTTTTCAAAGTTTTAACACCTCAACTGAGTCTGTAATATTTTTTGAGCTTGGTTTATTTTATTAGTTTTTTAATCATTTTATTGGGGGCTCATACAACTCTTATCACAATCCATACATACATCAGTTGTATAAAGCACATTTGCACATTCATTACCCTCATCATTCTCAAAACATTTGCTCTCCAGAGATTGTATTTTAAAGTGGAGAGTTGGTGTGTGACAGAGATGTCTTGATGAATTTGAAAGAAATAAAAGATCAGATAGAAAGAGGGGTAGCATTATTAGAAAAGACCAGTGATAAATATATAACCATTGTATTTCTGCACAAAAACACAAAAGTCTGCAATGGATACATGCTCAGAAAAACACATTTTCACAGACACATTTTGCGTTGTTTTTGTCAGCTTTCTCTTGGTTTTAGACTACGTTGGCATCAACATGGCCTCCCTGAATTCCTGCATTAATCCAATCGCTCTGTATTTGGTGAGCAAAAGATTCAAAAACTGCTTTAAGGTAAGAGATTATTCCAAAGTACAAAAAATATTTTAATCCAATATCAAATATGGCCCTTTAAAAACATTAACATTGATATCCAGAGAGATTTAGTAAACCATTTTATAATTTCCACTTATACTGTATCATGGATGATTTTTTTTTAATTAGGACTTTTACCGATAAATCACTATAATCAATTTTTCCCTATGGATCATAATGAATCACTCAATTACTGCCTCAACCAACCAGTTCTATTCATGGAAGGGCTCAGAAAATCAATCATACTCCTCACTGATGTCCAGCAATATCTTGATATTTTTATCAAGAGAAAGCCACTGTTTATGAAACAGTGAACTAAATATCATCTAAGACATAGAGTTTCTAAGTTAATCAACAGAATGAAAAGAGGTTTGGCTTACTTTTTTTAATCTAAGAAAAAGTTGGAATAATAAAATTGACATATTTATATCTTCAAAACCTTATTGTAAACTTAAATTGAAATGACGCATGAGAATGTCATGTGGCTGAACATAATCACAATTAACATTAAATTCACTAGCATGGAAATATTTTTATGGCATTATTATTTGATAAAGATCAGCATTTGGGGTAGTATGCGTACTATACCTTCATTGGAATAAACACACACACTCATGTGTTTATAGGTGTGTGGTGACATATTTTGCTATTTCCATAGAAAATATCTTTAAGTATTTGTCAAAGTATTAGAATGGCTTTCTCTTAATAAAAATCTTTGTATCTTCTGTATGTTTTCTAATATCACATGTTCATATTATATACATTTGTTTTACTTCTTATATCACCTACTACCCGGTAATTATTATATATTTTTAAGGAGAAAAAATAAGAGAGCATTAGAAAAGTAAGCCCAAAATTGCAAATCGTGCATATAAAGTCAGAACATTAGAGAGTATGAAGACATGCGACAATTGAACTGATACAAACTTAAACGAGTGACTTTGTTTTTGGTTTAGTCCTGCCTATGCTGCTGGTGCCAGTCATTTGAAGAAAAACAGTCCTTGGAAGAAAAGCAATCATGCTTAAAGTTCAAAGCTAATGAACCCGGATATGACAACTTCCGTTCCAGTAATAAATATAGTTCATCTTGAAAGAAGGAATATTCAGTTACTCACGTCTTCTTCCTTTTTCTTTTCTGGACAGAAGTCATTAAAATAATGAAATGTTTGCCAAGACAACACAAAAACACTGTGCCTGGACCAAAAATGGTATGACAACATACGAGTAATTATTAATATTCATAATCACACATGGCATGTTATGAGCTGTTGATAATGTGAGAAGAAAAGCAGTGAAAAGGAAGATGCCTCTGTGAAAGCACTTAACTTTTAGCTAGCACTTCAGTGTAACTCTTAATACCATCCAATGTATTCATGCATCATTCATGTTTAAAATGAGCTCACTCAGAATTCTTATTGTTGTTGTCTTAGCTGCCGGGGGTCTGTCTGGACTCACTGAGACTCCATGTGACGAAGTAGAACTGACCCATAGGGTTTTCTTGAGTGTGATCTTTGTGGAAGCAAATTGGCAGGGGTTTTTTTCTCTTGCCAAGTCATTAATTGATGACCTGTCAAGAGCTTAATTGTTTGTGCCACTAAGACTCCTTAAAATTCTTCTTAACCCTTTACCGGGGAGTCCATTTTTACTCACAGCAGCCCTGTAAGACAGAGTAGAACAAACACCAGGATTTCCAAAGCTGTCAATCTCTACAGGCGCAGACTGCCACAGTTTTCTCTTTTCAGAAAAGCTAGTGGATTGAACTCCTGGTCTTCTTGTTGGCAGTCAAGCCCTTTAACCACGGCACAATCATAACTCACAGAATATTTAAGAGGATTATTTTTAAATTGGTCTGAGTGTGATACAAAGGAAAAATATGTTGTGTGTAAAACATGATATTTAAATTACAAGTTTAAGTTATTCCATCGGATTTTAAAAATTCCTTTACAACAAATTTTCTATCAATGATTGTGCCACTGTTTGTCGAATACAAACATTTTCAATATAAAATGTGCAAGCAGTTTAGCTGCTATATTGTGTGGACACTAGCAATATATTAAATGATCTAGATGGAGTATCAGGAAGTGAGAGCTCAACTAAGCTTTTGCAAATCATTAAACGCTTTACATTCAGATGAGATCATACATAAAGGTAAGAGAATGAGGGTTTGGAATGTTATCCTGAAGCATTTCTTTGAAATCTCTCATTCATAACACTACAAAGAAAATACTACCTACCTACAAGATTTGCAGGGTTATTAAAATATTCCTCATCTTTCATTCCTGTAGTCTAAGCTGTATGAGTTTAGTTTCTTTATGTGTAAGTATTTCGCTACATGCAGGGCACATAGAAGATTAAATCTAGGGCAGGTCCCATGTTCATAACTTTACTATGGAGAGACGCCAGTAACCTCAGAATGGACAGAATGTGAATTGCCTGGAGCAATGTTCACATGGCTAAGGATAAGGGAGCATCCTCTCTCTCACTGATGCTGCAGTTAAAATTGTCTCTGGCATTTGTATAATACTACAGCTCCTATACTATTTTCCCCCAAATCTCTCAAATTAGCCAATTAACAGATATTGTAAGTTTATGAAAGAAAAATTGCCACTTAGTTGATCCCTACTCTGCCACTGAGTACACCCATTGCCATGGAATTGATTCAGAGTCACCCTCTAAGACAGAAGAGAACTGCCCCTGGCTTCCCAAGGCTATAAATCACGGTGGAAGTTGACTCTTCTTTTTCATTAGCAACCCAGTCCTTAACCACTGCACAACCAGCACTTTTTTTATAAAGTGTATTGCTGATTTTTATATTGTTTTTCTGAATGGCCATTGAAAATAGTTCTTGACCTGGTGTTTTTGTATCATTTAGAGGCAAAACTATGCTTTGAAGCTCTAATAACCTCCAGCTTTGTGCATTCTTGCCTACTTCTTCAATCTTCCCGACAAAGTGCCTTACAATTCCTGGGAATGGGATGTGTGTGAAAGTATGTCCAAGAGAAAACAGAAGAGAGAGGAAATGAGGTGGGGTAGGAGGAAGCCCTTGGGAAATGATTTCCATTCTTAGCCTAATGTTCATCATTGCCCCGTCACATCAGCGCAAAAGGTCCTGATTATGTTCCAGCAAAGCTCAGTGTAATGTTCTCAGACTGACTTCAGGAGCGAATGAAACCCACGAGCTTTTAACTCGGAGTTAAAATACAACAGCATTTACATATCTTTTTTTCTCTCTTGGTAATCTGGACCACGTGTTGGAAATAAGCTGGCAATATTGTTTTCTGCCAAACCCCAACAATGTAGCCAAAAATAAAAGACTAATTAATTTACATGCCATACAAACTCACAAATTACTTTAAAAATTGTATTTTCATTTCTTCCCAATCACCTTGTAAAATGACTGTCATTACAAAAGCTATTTCTAGTTTTGAAATTGGATTCAAAATTCAGATTAAAACCTGGATTACTAGGAGTGCCACAGTTTGTTTACATATCTACAAATATATGATATATAATTCCCATTTAAGCATGGGCTCTTCAGTATATGATTTGTAATAAAATTGTGCTCAAGAACTTTTCTAAAAATATTTGATTCAAAATTTCAATAGACTAAGACAAACTGATAGTAAAAAATAGGATTCCTTGGCATAAGTCAGATAGGAAAAGGTGCTACTGTTTAGCTTTAAATATTTTTCTCTTAATATAGAAATAGGCAAAAAATCATGTTAACATTGATGTTAAATCTCAAAGGATTTATTAATGAGTTTAGCTTATTTTTTCTTTATACAGTAACTGCTAATATGTAAGTATGTTCAAAGACATTTAAGAGTTGATAGCTGAAATATGACCAAAGAGACAATTTTTAGCAAAACAGGGGTATGCCCTATCTTACTTCATAAAATTGTAATATAACCGTGCAAAATAATCATATATTTTGTTTTGTTGTGGCCACTGAAAGTGACAGATGCTGTAGTTGCTAACTCTTTACTATGTAAACAAAATCAATAAACATTAAACGTTGTTTTAAAATTTAGAGTTCAGATTATTTTTTACCACGTAGGCAATAATTAAGTAAATTCTAATTGATAAAGTGTTTATAAGAAAATATGAAAGTTCTTTTAAATGAACATGCCCAGTTTCTGATCTCCAAGTGGCATTGTATTTGTTAAATTGATTGTAAGACCAGATATATATACAGACCTTCAATGTTCCTGGGTTCATTATTTGGCTAACAGTGTTCAGTGGCACCTCATATGATTCTCTGGTTACCTGCTTTGGGGGCATTTCACTATTTAATCATCATTTTCTCACAAGTCAAAATTTTGAGGGAATGAGGTTTGAAAATACTTATTTTGTTCCCCAAGCTCCTTTTCTGAGTGTTTACTGTTTGCAAAGTGGGATGAAATTAACAAACTGAAGAGACCCTGCTTAATGTGAGACAGAGATGATCGAGTTTTATACAAAGTAAAATTAGAGTACAAAATCACTGCATACTGACTGCTAGAAAAGTTCACACCTTTGTATCTATTATTATGGTCCTATTCTTCATTTGCTAAAAAGAACCAAGAACTTTCATGGACTCTATTACAGATAATTATGTCAAACTTCGAGTTGCAAAGACTTCTATCATTCTGACTGACTGTCACTGGATTTCAGCCATCTTATCACAGCCAAGGGGTTGCAAACAAAAGTGGTTTGAATCACAGTGGCTGTGTGAGAAATACAGCAAAGAAAAACATAGCAAGGACCACAGTCAGCCGTCACCCAAAAGAGCCTACCTTCAAAAAGATATAATATCCCTCTATGATGCTCACCTTCCCGACACAACCACTGAAGACAAAGCGGGTGAATAAGAAAATGTGGTGAAGAAAGCTGATGGTGCCCGGCTATCAAAAGATATAGCGTCTGGGGTCTTAAAAGCTTGAAGGTAAACAAGCAGCCATCTAGCTCAGAAGCAACAAAGCCCACATGGAACAACATATCAACCTGTGTGATCACGAGGTGTCGAACGGATCACTGAAGACAAATGGGTGCATAAGCAAATGTGGCAAAGAAAGCTGATGGCGCCCGGCTATCAAAAAGTATAGCATCTGGGGTCTTAAAGGCTTGAAGGTAATCAAGCAGCCATCAAGTTCAGAAGCAACAAAGCCCACATGGAATAAGCACACCAGCCTATGCAACCACGAGGTGTCAAAGGGATCAGGTATAAGGCATCATCAGAACAAAAAATCTTACCATAGTGAATGATGGGGGGAGTGCGGAGTGGAGACCCAAAGCCCATTAGAAGGTCACTGGAGATTCCCTTGCAGAAGGGTCTCGGGGAAGAGAAGAGCCAGTCAGGGTGCGTTGTAACAACGATGAAAAATACAACTTTCCTCTAGTTCCTAAATGTTTCCTCCCCGCTCCCACTACCGTGACTCAAATTCGACCTTGCAAGTCTGGCTAGACCAGAGGATGTACACTGGTACAGATAGGAACTGAAAATCCAGGGAATCCAGGGCGGATGAGCCCTACAGGACCAGTGGTGTGAGTGGCGAAACAGGGAGTGTAGAGGGAGAGTGAGTAGGAAAGAGGGAACCGATTACAAAGAGCTATATGTGACCTCCTCCCTGGGGGATGGACAGCAGAAAAGTGGGTGAAGGGAGACGTCGGACAGGGCAAGATATGACAAAATAGCAATTTATAAACTATCAAGGGCTCATGAGGGAGGGGGGAGGGGGGAGGGAGGGGGAAAATGAGGACTTAATGCCGGGGGTTTAAGAGGGGAGGAAATGTTTTGAGAATGATGAGGGCAATGAATGTACAAATGCGCTTTACACAATTGATGTGTGTATGGATTGTGATAAGAGTTGTATGAGCCCCTAATAAAATGATTTTTAAAAAAAGAAAGAAAAAAGAAAGGGGGAACCGATTACAAGGATCTATATATAACCCCTTCCCTGGGGGATGGACAACAGAAAAGAGCGTGAGGGGAGACATTGATCAGTGTCAGATATGGAAAAATAATGATTTCTAAATTATCAGGAAGGGCGGGGATGAGGAGCTTGTACAAGGGGCTTAAGTGGAAAGCAAATGTTTTGAGAATGATGAGGGCAACAAATGTACAAATGTGCTTGACACCATGGATGTATGTATGGATTGTGATAAGAGTTGTACGAGTCACCAATAAAGTTATTTTTTTAAAAAAGATATAATGTCCTTTATTGTTTCTATAATAGAGGAGCCTTTCTTTACTTATCCATCAAATACTTGTATTTTATGATAGTATTTCCAGTCTAATTAATATATCCAATTAACAAAAGTTTAGTGTACTTACCATATAATTGTTGCTAACTACCATCCAGTTGGTTCCAACTCATAGTGACTCTACACCACACAACAAAGCACTGCCCAGTCCTGCACCATCCTCACAGTTGTTCTTATGGTTGAGCCACTGTGTCAATCCATTTTGTCAAGAGTTTCCCTTCTTTCACGGCCCCTCCACTTTACCAAGTATAATGTCCTTTCCAGCGGCTGGTCTCTTATAGTAAGATGTGCAAAGTGTGTGAGGCAAAGTCTTGCCATCTTTGCTTCCAATCAGCATTCTGGCTGTACTTCTGCCAAGACAGATATGTTTGTTCTTTTGTCAGTCCATGGCACCTCCAGTATTCTTCTCCTGCATCGCAATTAAAATACAGCAATTCTTATTTATCTTCCTTATTCAATGTCCAACTTTCACATGCATTTGAGATGACTGAAAATACCATGACTTGGGTCAGGTACACCTTAGTCCTCAAAGTAACATTCTTCCTTTTAAGCACTTTATTTTTTTTCTTTATTATTAAATCATTTTATTGGAGACTCATAACAATCCATACATCAATTGTGTCAAACACATTTGTACATGTGTTGCTATCATCATTTTCAAAACATTTTCTTTCTGCTTGGGCCCTTGGTATCAGCTCCTCTTTTTTCTCTCCCTCCCTCGCCCTCCCATCCTCATGTATCCATAATAAATAATAAATTATTTTTATTTTCATATCTTACACCATCCACTATCTCCTTTCACCCTTGTTTCTGCTGTTTGTCTCCAGGGGGAGGTGGGGAGACAGAAGAATATATGTCGATCATTGTTGTCAGTTCCTCATTTCTCCCCCTTCCCTCCCCACTTTCCCCTACCCTCATGGTATCACTATTCCCATTACTGTTCCTGAGAGACTTATCTGTCCTGGATTCCATATGTCGAGAGCTCTTATCTGTACCAGTGTATATGCTCAGGCTGGATTTGTAAGGTATAACTGTGGTCATGATAGTGGGGGAAAGGAAGCATTCAAGAACTAGAGGAAGGTTGTATGTTCCATCGGTGCTATGCTGCACCCTGGATGTCTCATTCTTCCTTTGTGCCCCTTTTAAGCACTTTAAAGAGTTCTTGTGCAGCAGATTTGCCCAATGGAATATAATGTTTGACCTCTGGACTGCTACTTCTATGAACATTGATTGAGGATCCAAACAAGATGAAATCCTTGGCAGCTTCAACCTTTCTTGATTTATCATGATGTCACCTAATGGTCTTGTTGTGAAGACTTTTGTTTTCTTTGCATTAAAGTATAATCCATATTGAAGGCTGCAATCCTTGATCTACATCAGGAAGTACTTCAAGTTCTTCTCATTTTTAGGAAGCAAGGTTATGTCATGTGCACAGTGCAGGTTGTTAATAAGCCTTCCTCTAATCCTGATGCTGTGTTATTCTTCATATAGTCCAACTTCTCTGATTATTTGCTCAGTATGCCGATTGAATAAGTGTGATGAGAGAATACAACTCTGACACACAACTTTTCTGATTTTAAACCATGAAGTATTCCTTTGTTCTCTTTGCACACCTGCCTAATAAAATACAGATATGCAAAAATGTCTTTCACATACTCATTATCTAGTGTGAGATAAATAAATAAATTCAATTATGTTATAGATAATATAATATAGATTCATGTATAGTAAGACCTGGGGAAGGTTAGAGAAACTGATTAGAATAGCTGGCATTTGAGTTAAATCATACAAGAAATTTGCAGGCCGACAGCAGACTAATTACATTTCTGGCAAAACAATTGCCTTGTGAGAAGGGGTGAGGCAGCATGGCCACCCCAGGCAAAGGGCTGAATCTCGGCCTGCTAGAAGGGGAGCTCTGAGAAGTGAGGTTGAAAAGGAAGCAATCAGCAAAAGTCTTGAGCTCCAAGCATTGGACTTTGCCTGTGTTAGACAGGGTTCTCAAAGAAATAAAACCAGAATGCTAATAATTTTATATATATTTATAGAGATAGACAGATATATAACATAAGAAATAAACAGTTAGTTAAATTATAAAGCAGTACAAATGGCTCAGTGCAACTCACTCCCATGAGACAGATGTGAGACACTGGCAGTCCTTCAAGTCTTGAGGGCCATCAGGTCATCCTCTGTAGAGCAATTCAGGTTATCTGGCCACAGGCAGCAAACAGTAAGGCAGGGCCACCAACAGTCAGCCAGATGACAGGGTCCAACAGTCCCCAGCTCAAGAGATGTAAATTCCAGTGGTGTGGCAAAGCAGGTCTTGAAGGAACCTCAAATTACAGCGACACAGTCCATGGGTTGGGTGTCCCACAGGTAGTGTAGCTTGCAAATTGAGGCACAGAACAAGCAAGGCAGCCACACACTGGTCAGATGATCAAAGAGCAAGAGACAAGAAAGGCAAAGCTTGCCGAGTCATTTATCTCTCCGGCATCCACATGTGTTTATAGGCCAGGTTGGCAAAATAAACTAACTACCTCAGCCCTTTCCAATGGCCAGTGTTTCTCACATGTTTGAGGATTGCAAGCATAGCACCAATCCTGGTCTATCTGATAATCTAGAAATATTTAATTCACCAAACACCTCATATAATTTTTACACACCTAAAAATTGGGGAAATACCACAGTGCTACAGTATACATATTTACAAACCAGAACCACCCATGGCTCTTTTGTCAATTCCCACCCGTAGTCATATGCCAGGTCTCTGACACTGCGGTCTTCAC